TGGTTATTGATAAATTTAAACAACGCATAAGTAGGGCCAAGAGCCCACAAATGCGACTGTACACTAAAAGGGTCAAAAAGGGTTAATGTCCGCAACCCTCAGAGTCCGCGAATATAATCGTCTGAGCATGGGGATTCATGTTTGACCCAAGAAACCATTGTCAGTGTTACAAAACAGATGAATGCAAAACAGTTTTCAATATTTCGCAAGGGTAGCTGAGAAGAGGAGGGGACGGAAAACGGTAGCGAAGACTGACTCTGCAGAAAATAATATAAAAATATTCAAAAACGAATAAAATATCAAGGGAACTGCCTCAAATACCAGGAGGCCCAATTTTAAAGTCCAAAAATTGCATGTTTAGTAAGGAAACGGGCAATAAGGACTTAATATCTTCCGGAGTCGAATGGTAACGTGATTTGACTTTAAAAACCACTAGATGAAAGCATATTTGTGAAACAGAACAGTGACGGTCATATGTAGAAAGGCTAGCTGGATACTTGCTGCTGAAGTGTGGAAAGGCCCGGAGAAAAATGGTCGGGGCTCTAATCTTGATAATATGTCCTTGGGATGGAAATCCGACACCCAAAGTTTTATACATCTTGCGACTCCAGCAACCAAAGCTTAAAAAGAACTCCGTTTAAACTCAAAAGTTTTCGAAGTTGCTTCACAGCCTTGCAGAGTCCGACTATACTATTCTGTGATCTGCCAATTTCTTTGGATCCTTGAACTTGACTAAGCAATGCTGTACAGGAGCTGCTTCCGTATCAAAATCGTCTTTCGGCGTTTTTACTTGTCTTCGCGTGTGACGATGCCTAAAAACGAGCAAAATTTTTTAAAATTAGATGAGTGTGGGCAGTCTCATCTATATGCTTTTTGGAAAGAATTGAACGAGAAAGAAAAATCCAAATTATCGGCCGAACTAGATATGGTTCCATTTACTACACTCTCAAAATCCCTTTCGGTTTGTCAAATCCATTTTGCAATTTCATCACCTTAGGCGGCGCTAGAGGTATGCAGTATTTCACGGAAATATATATTTATCTGAACTCTTTTAACACCTGCGAGTGGTGATTTGCATGGATCCGAAACGTATTGGCTTTGTCTAGGGCCCTAGACATAGCAAGATACATAGCAAGATACATCTTGCTATATAGCAAGGATTTAGGACGTCTAAGTCCTCATACATAATGAATTAACTGACGTGAGAAAAATTGCATTGTCGTATGTTTCTTAACGCGATTTTCAAAATTTTCAAAGTGAAATCGTCTGCTTTAATCTTGTTGGCTCCAATTCTGTCCTTTTCATACAAATCGAAACTCCCTGTAAGTCATTTCCATGCGTCTCGTGCATCCAGGTGTGCTTTGATTTTTACACAACACAACAGGACTTCGGCTATCCATCGCCAGTATTTTCATAATTCCAGAACTTCCTATCTCGGTTTGGGGTTTGTGTAATTTAGAGAGCTTACTGTGCTGTAAGTATAAGCTTATACTTAAAGTCCAATAAATTTGTGTACGAATGCACTTAACAAGGAACTAATTAAAAGCCAAATAAAAGCAGTTAAAATGAATTTTGGTACGGACCTCCTATCCATTTTGCACCTCACTATAACTGCGAAATGACGTTTTGCAATGTCTGCTCAATTGCCGTTTTTTTAGTTCTTTTCAATGCTTTTGAAAAAAATGTAGACACGTGCTTTTTAATCCATCATGATTTTTCTTAAGAAGCTAACGACCACTTTTCTTAGCATAATGTAAATAAATGTCATAACAGCAATTCTGGGCTCTTTCCTTTCTGTTTTCGCAGGTTTCTCAGCACACTCAGCTCGTCGACGATCGTCTTATGTGTCCAAGTCCCTCTGTGATAGGTCATGCTTTGCCTCTGCGGGAAGCACGTTCACCCCTTTATTCGCAGTACCTTGAAACTGGCCTATCCGCCATTAAGTCGGGGAAAACCGCTGTTTTGCTACTTGCCGGAGGTCAGGGTACGCGTTTGGGATGCAGCCACCCGAAGGGCATGTACGACATCGGACTCCCCTCGAAGCGCAGTCTATTTCAGCTCCACACAGAACGGCTTTTAGCTGTGTGCCGAAGGGCCTCTGGTCAGTCCGACAAACCGGCCTATATACCCTGGTAAGGAAAGGCTTTATGGGTAGCGAGCTATTTGTTGTTGCTGCTGTTTCAGCATAAACGGAAGCTGTAAAAACCGCCAATACTTCGTTGCAGTTTTATCGATCGAATACTGCTTTTTCTTGTACGTGCAGCCAGCACCACCCTCCGCCATTCCTTTGGTGGTTATGCACAATATTACTGTGCAGATTGGAAGTCTGGTCATTATACATTTTTAGTGCTCAAAAAACTTCTACTTAACTTTTTAATTAGAAGCCATATAAATTGAAACCAAAAGGCCTGGAGTCTACCGAAATCTAGGAAATATAAACCAGTTAACGAAATAGTCATGCACCATCACGTCGCTTGAGAGCGGAAACAGGGGCGCAAATATAGGGGATGCGTAAACTTAAATGCACAATCTAGCAAACGTAATATGGAAAGTGAGCCTAGTAGAGTTAAAGATGCATAGTTTAAAAAGGTAAGAAACTACAGCGTTGCCGAATTAAATAAGACTGACTGGATCTAAAGATATTTGGAGATTTTATAACGTACAATCACCACTGTATAGAATGTCAGGCGGCTTAAGCAGACATTTTAGAATATATTGCTATGTTACT